AAAATTCTTATATATGATATAAAATACCTTAATCAACAAATTTTTTAATATGATATAAAAAACCGTAAAGTTATTTCAATTGTTTTATTATGAATTTTACTTGGATCGGAAACAGTTATATGCCGATTTGATTAAGAAGAAATATATTTATTTGCAAAGATATTCTAAATAAAAATCCTTACATTCTATATTAAGTTATATTATGACCTTGGGTTTATTGTGTTATTTTTATTGCTTTCTTTGATTAAATCTCAACAATATTAAAAATTTGAATAATAATCTTAATTTTATTGAAAAAATCAAGGCTAAATTTTTTTCAATTTTGTGCTATAGTATTTTTGTAAGATACTAGTTGAAATAGGTTTGCGAAATAGATAGGAATATTATTAGGCAAGAATAATAATTTATCTTAATTTTATTTATTTACTTAATATGGCTTAAGATCCATATAAATAAACATAAATAGGAATGAATCTATCTAAATCTAATAATAAAAAGAATTATTACATATTGCTAGCTTAGTAAAATAGAATATATATTTTTTTTTTAGTAAAATCTAAAAGAAATTTCAAATTGAAGATACCATTATATAATAAATAAAACATTAAAGTATGATTCTTTTTAAAAAAAACATTTATTTTTGAGAGATATAGTAAAAAACGTGATTGATTGATCTACTAAAGATTTAATTGAAACAGAAAATTTAGGACTATTAAAGGATGATAACCTGACAAAAATATAATTTTTTATTTAATTTATTCTAGAAAAAGGGAATAATCAAAAAGATTAGTTGATTGAAGCATTATAAAATTATCAAGATGTAACCATAAAAGTATTTCCATAAACCTATTCTCTAACCTTCAATGTATTCTCCTTCTTCATAAATTAAGCCGTACTTATTATAATGATTAATTTATAAAACTAATCTCCAATAATTTTGAAATAGTTCTTTCCATTGTCCTTTTTTTTTCCTTCTTCTAAGAACAATAAAGACAAAAAGAAATAAATATTTATTTCTACTATACATACCACCTACATTTCATAAAATTTCTCCATTTTTCAGATTTCCTGAAATCATTACCATATTCGCCTTTCTTTTAGAGATTTTAAATATATTCAATTTCATTTTAATTCTGTGATTTGTATTTCTTTTTTATCATAATTTATTATAAATTCGACTGAAAAATCAATTTTTTTAGGTTTGACAACTATTTTAAGATTTATATTATTTTATTCACAACTAAAATCAGTAGCAAGTGCAGTTAACAAAAATCAAAATAATTTAATATTCAGAACTAAAAATATTCATAGCTATTCAAAAAAATTAGAGGAATGGTGTTAGGA